AACCCCGTCTCTACTAAAAATTAAAAAATTATCGAGGCGTGGTGGCGCGTGCCTGTAATCCCAGCTACTCAGGAGGCTGAGACGGGAGAATCACTTGAACCCGGCAGGTGGAGGTTGCAGTGGGCCAAGATCGTACCACTGCACTCTAGCCTGGGCAACAAGAGCAAAACTCTGTCTCAAAAAAAAAAAAAAAAAAAGAAAAAGAAAAGAAAGAATCATTTCTTTCTCCAATTAACTACCCTGCAAACACTGATTCCCAAAGTCAATTTCCTTCCTTGAAAAATGCATCAGGTGAAGAAGGTCCTCATACAAACAAGCATTCTTCCTCTCACACCAGGTGCTGAGTCTTCTCATTAAAACAACAGTCACTATGGTAAGTTGCCCTTTGTATTTCCATTGCCCCCACCCCTGAAAAATCTGATTCTCCGAGCACAATTCTATATTTGGTACATTAACAACTTTCCTTAATACTATGGGGTTCTGAATCATCTCAAAAATAATTCAGCAGAGGCCACACAGAAATAGAAGTATTGCATCTGGCTCACTTGAGAAATTAACAGTAGGGTCCACTCTTCCCATATCGATAACTTAGGAAGACTGGTACTACCAGTTGTTTGTTAAGCCTCTTAAATCCTCTGTGGAGTTCATGTTGAGGAACAAAGACAGACCTCTTCTTCATCAGCACAGTGATTAAACAACTCTGCTCACCTGCCATAGCATCCTGATGGACACTGTGAGGTAAGCAGGACAGGTGTCCCTATGTCCATTTTATATCTGGGAAAGTGAAGCAATAACACATGTGTCTTCCTTACAGGGAAAAGGTCAAGGAACTTGCAGAGGGCTAAGACATAAACTCTTTGCCACGAGAGTGGTTCTCAACCTTGTTTGCGCATTAGAATCACCTAGGGAGCTTTGACAAAACACCAATACCAAACCAGACCAAAATGCCAACCCAGACTAAAATGCCTGCGGTGGTGCCTGGGCATCAGTGGGTTTTAAAAGCTCCCAAGGTGATTCAAAGGCACAGCACTGAGAACCGTCTTTGGCAAGTACCAGTTTTCTTTCTCTCACTTTCTATTCTTCTTGGCTTTACTTAACCAGTAAGAAAGTGAAAGGGTCGTGAATGACAGAGTGGCAGAGCAGTAGTACATAACAGTCATCACAATGGCGACAGATGCAGCTAAACCAAGTATGTATTCAGGTAAGGCAAAAAAAAAAAAAAAAAAAAAGCCAATAAGAAACATGATTCAATAAAAATCAAAAGGAAACACATTCATAAAGGCTAAAAAGCCAAGTTCAGCACATATGTATTACACATATTGCTATATACACTATGTTTTTTTTCTGGGTTTTTTTTTTTTTTTTAAGAGCAAATTTTCAAACAAATGACTATACAGAGGCATGTGTGTCCCAAATGGCAGGAATAAATGCTAAGGAAATTCTTTCCAACATCTGTGAGTAATTTTGTACCATACATCATTGGTCCTATGCATTCACCTTAAAGAAAAAAGATCAGAGTAGAATTACCAAACATCCAAATGTAGTAATAGTTTTTCTCTCCTATTAGGCATGATCTGAAACCCATTAATTTTTTCCAGAGGGAACTTCACTAGTAACACTTTATTCGTGAGCACAACTTGGTTCTTAGACAACCAGTACTTCATGTACTGGCAGTAACACTAGGGGAAAGACTATGACTAAAAGAATCCTCCTCTAATGAGAAACTCTAAACACAAGAAACAATTAAGTATTGAATGGGGATCCTCCTAGTCCAGTCTTGCAATTCCCAACCATCCAAAGAAATCACAGTAATATTCAATATTCCCCAAAGAGTGCAGACATGAACTCTTAAAATTCTAGGATCTTAAAACACACGCATATATATGACCTTCACACACGTATGATCGCACGTAACAAATTAGGTTTGTGGAAAACACTATCAGTTACACAATACTCTCAAAGTGAAAATACCAGGGACAGGATTTTATTCAACTCCATCTACAGGACATTAGTCAAAGGCACCTGACAGTTTTATAAATGCTCAACTTGAAGCTCTTTGTTAGTGAAACCTCATACTGCAAAACCATGGTAGCTTACTCTCCCCTCCCCTTCTCCTGGAATCCCTCTCTTTCAGCCCTGCCAAATAACTGGCTCCCAACGTGTTTGTTCTGTGTCTCTCTTTGTTTTTCCCAAAAGGAAAAAATTAATGGTCAAGTGGGTTTAATTTTTAAACTGGTACAAGAGCTTTAAACACGCTGTAGTGAGAAAAATGCAAATGGAACGCTCTTGCAAATGGCTGCACATTAAACATACATCTTATGACCCAGGCCTTTACTAAGACGAGTTCTTAAATTCTTTGGAGGTCAGAAGTTTAGTTTATTCAGCAAGAATAACTCTATTAACAGCTCCAGCTCCTTCTTGTCACCACAGTAAACATCCACACATTCCAAATCCTGGAAAATGTGAGGCAGTAAAGAGAAAGCTGGAGCTGCCAACAGCCTGAAAACCTTCTAAAGCTATCAGTCCATTGTACGAATGTACAAAGATATCCACAGAAATGGATGGATCGGAGCACATATAAAAGCAGCTACATTGGACTCAGGAGACCAGTTTTTCAGAGGACAGAGTGGAACTGGTGAGGCTTTATGTATATCACTATCAAATAATAATAATAATAGTAATAATATCTTACAGCTCTTTAAGCAGATGCCCAGAATTCCACATCAACTTATGTACTGCTATAGTTTTCAGACCCTGATTTTTTTCCTAAATAATCCTATCTTTGAGAAGAGGCTGAGGTTAAAAGTCAAAACTAAGCAGACTTCTAAGCAAAGTGAAAAATAACTCAAGCTTTACAGCTGTTCCAGAAAGTCTGTGGCTAATTTTACAACATCTACCACCCAGTGAGGTCACACTGCAGGAACTTAGTCCTACTCCACACTTGAATAAATAAAATCATGACAAGCAATAAACTGATGGGAGTGCTAAGTCATAGCTAAGAAATGGGAAGACAGCATTTCACCCTAATGAGTAAATTATCCAAGTACAAAAAAATCTGATGTTCAAGTTTAGGGAAATTAACCCTTACACTTTCCAAATATTTTGCTGTTCCTGAAAATGTGCGCACCTAAACAAATTCACTGTGACCTTATTAAGGTCTTGAATCCTTTTTTGTACTTTTCACACCGAAGTGTCAGTCTGAAAGCCTTATCCACCATTTCCCTTAGAGAAAATGAAAGGGAAGGCAAACTGCACAACCCAAGAGAATAACATGATAGAAGTTTGCTCCCCACATGGGACCCCTTGAACTGGAGGGTGACTGAACAGACAAGCAAGATGAGACAAATTCTGGGTCCTCCAACATCAGTTCCTCCCAATGTGGTTCATATGGCTTCCCAGAATATCTGAAAAACCCAAATTAAAAGTACAAAAAGAAAGAAGAGACCCCAAACTCAAACATTTCTGAAGCCACAAAAGTAAATTTTAATCACTTCCCTCTGAGCAAACACGAGCTGACCATAGTCATACTTTCAGACCTTTTCTCTGATTCTTTCTTGTATACTCTTTATTTATACTTACCAGTGCCATCTACAAATATTTTTTATTTAATTATGAAACATATCCTACAAGAGTATATTTAATGTAAAATGTAGAATTCAGAGTTCTCTAAGAACCTTTGTTTTTTACCTTGAAACAGCTTGAGCCATTTTCTACCTTTTAAGAATTATACTCAACACTTGTCATCTGATTTTCATTTATTTTTATTTTCTTCTGTCATTCCCCAGTTTGTCACTATCCTTAACTATTTTTTCTCAACTACTTCTTGCCCAGCAGTTACCCTCAACATTCCCCATTCACTCAGTCACTTTTGTATACATTTCACCTTCTCCCTTTGAGTTTTGGCCCTCAAATTTTCTCCCTTGATTCAGAGGAATCGAGTGAATAATTGTGACTTTCAGACCCTTCTTGTTACTCTCATCCTGCCCTTACTCCTCTGGCAAATGACCATGATATCAACAAACTGTCATCTCCTTTATCTTTGACCAATCTAACTGACAGGGGAAAAAAAGTTCCCCACCCCTTCATTTTTCTTTGTTCCCTGGTACACTCTGAAGCACCCTGCAGCATGCTTCTTCCTTATCCCTTCTACTCTACTCATTCCCCAATGGAGCACTGCAGCTCGTCTTGGTACTTAGTTTTCAATTATTGGTTGGCTTGTTTTGGTTGGCTTGTTAATGACACTGGCCATATGAAACACGTTGTACCTGGTGGTCATGTGCTATGAGACATGGCCAAGATTTGGATCCACTATCGGCATGGCATATGCTCTGATGTATATTCCAATAGCGATGACAGATTAATCCTGATCCATTTCCTTTGAACCTTGTTTCTCTTGTGGCCAATGGACTGCATTTGCCAAATGGATTGCCGAGTTAAGGAACAGAAAAGGTTTTATGTCTCTGGCCATAGAAGAGAAGTGACCGGCTTACTAAGGCTTAAGTCTTTGGCCCTGGCCTCATTACTTCCGAGCACCAGCTGGCCACAACCACATCATGACCATGATCCTCACTATGTACAAGAACCTTGGTTCAATTCAGAAAATAAATATAAGCCTCCATAACACAAAAACAACCATGTCAAGATAGACACATTGGTTGGCACCCTAAGAATTACATAAACTTGAGATCTATCTCCCTTCCCAATTTCCACAATACCTTTTAGGGGCAGAGTAAACCCTAACCCGCTTCTCACAGTCCTTCCATGTTAGCACTTAAAAGAGGAGAATCACTTTTCGAAACACCTGACTCATCCGCAATGTAAAAGCAGCCATGCACAAGAGGACAAACACAGTTCTTCCTTCCAACCCAAATCCAGAGAGCGGAAAAAAACACTTTTCATTCCTCTCTGAATACCGCAAAACCAATTCTCCTCACAGGTGGACATAAATACATCATGGGGAAGAGGGCATGGGGAAATATATAAAAATAAATTGTATTTACCTTCTTCTGTTTCATGCCACACGATCCCTTCCAAATTCACACTGGTCCCAGGTTCACAGGGCCCAAGACACTCTGGCTCTGTCACTACTCCAACTTCACACGTATTGACACCCACAGAACGAGTCCGAACCAAAAGCTGTTCAACCGGTGCTGCAATATTGGATGAAGATGGGGAAAAGTAGGAGGGTAGAATCTGAGGCGTGAGACTGCTGGAAATCGGCGGTGGTGGCGCTGGCACTGTAAACAGGGGATCAACCTGAAAGACAGACAGGCTTACTGCAGTAGGGCTGCATTCCGTGCATTCCTTTTAATGCAATTTGCTTATACCACTTCTAGAATATATCACCATTCCAAATTCCATTTGCAATTATAATATGCTTTGAGTGTTTCAATGGTGCCAAAATATAAAGTAGAATAGAAATGAGCATTTTGTTTTTTCATGCCAAATAAGGTAAACATGAGAGCGCTAGCTCCCTGAATCATAAGCAGGCCTTCAGTGTTCTTCTAAATTCATCATTGGACAACCGTTAGCCTCAGCAGACGTGAATGCAACATGTTTTGCAAAATTAAGGCTACTTCTGACATGTAATGAAATCTCATTTTAAAAATTATAACATTTTCCAAAGGAGAAACTCCAATAAACACTAAAAATTTAAGTATAAGAGATGAACTAAAATTGTTTTCAAAGCACTTTATAAACCATAATGAATTAAATCACTACTAAAATATATTAGCTTTGCTGAATATATAAATATATGAACTTTACAATCTACACTGAAACATAAAAACTGGATATTGTTAGCATGTATTCAGAATCAACTCCTAATTAAGGGTTCTATTGCAAAGTTTAGCAGAATTCATATCCGGGGGAGATAAATGTGTGTGCCCCACATCAACAGAACTTGAGTTTCTCCAATGCACAAATTCTTCCGTGGTTAAACTGGTAAAGATCCTTAATGAGCTTGATTAAGGCTCAGCCACCATCTCTCTAAATAGAGGAAATGTAAATCACAGCCAACTACAAGACCTTGTGGTGCAATGACATCCCCTTTGCACCGCTATCCCCAGGAGAGCAGCAAAGGAGTTCTTCATCACAAAAAGTTTAAAAGTCTGGCCATAATGAAACCAAAGGCTATGCATGTACTAAACAGTACATTCATTTGGCCCATTGCTAGGACTGCTACAGATAGCTCTGACCCTGATTATTGGTTGTGAAAATGCCACACACACAGCCCATTTGTACCAGGACTCCAGATTATCTATGTCTTTGTGTTGCACATAGAAACGGCCTACATTTAAGGGATGACACCTCACAAGTATTATCAGTTGGGCTAACAAATCCTGTATGTAAACAGGACAGATCGAAGATCATTCTGGTAAAAATGTTATCTTATTCTGCTGTTCATAGATTCCCAGTTATCCACTGTAAGTTATCTTTTGTAGCCACTTGGCTACAGGCGTGATAGTATATAGTCTTTGTTGGGTTTTGGTTTTTTTTTTTTTTTTTTTTAAAGAAACAAAACAAAAAGAGTGTATTTCAAGAGTCATATGAGGAAGTGTGCTCCTAGTTAAACAGCTGAAGCAGTCATCTGTGTGGGCTCCTTGTTCATATGACTGTAGGAACTATTTCTACAGTTTGCATTTCACTAAAATGATAAACTGACGTTCACTTGCCTGAGTGATCCAAGATGCAACAGAACAGCCTTTCACCCATCTGCATGTTAAAAAAACTTAATTTCCTGCTCTCAAAGCTGCCATAAAACTTCTTTTGCTCCATGCTTTTTATTGTTCTGCATTCTTGATCACAGAGCCCAGGAAAGAAAAGCATTTAACAGTCCCAAACCCCAGGTACTGTGATTTATGCTTTTGTGTAAATGTAGCTTAATGTGGATCAAAGTTCACACTGATAGTTCTTATTTTAAAACTGAGCTGACAAATGAACAAAGGGGTTCTGAGAGAGGAAATTTAAGGGGGAAAAAAACAATGCTACCTAGTAGTCTTTATTACAACTAAAAGACTGTCTGAGATTAGAATCACTTTCCAGAGTCAAAAATAGAGACCAAAGAAAATTGGGGGTTTTTTTGCAGGCTTTCCAGCTTCTTAATTTGTATAGTTAGTTGTAAATTGACTGCAATTCGATGTCACATGTATAAATTGAAAAGAAAAAATAGAACATTATTCTGAAAATATTCTTCATATTACCTGATCAACAGCCTACATTAATATCAAGAGAACAAATGTAGCTTGAATAGGATGCATAAGAAAATGAAATAAAATTAGAGATGAAGAGTCTTACAGCATATCAATTCTCTGATTTGGAGGTGAGAACACAACGGGGCAATGAGAGTTATGGTGGCAAGATATACTAACACTAGGACTGGCACCAACTCTGATATTAACTAGCTTATGACCCTGGAGAGTCCTTCAACCTCTCTGAGGCCCATTTTCCTCAACTAGAAAACACATTCTTGGCCAGGTATAGTGGCTCACACCTGTAATCCCAACACTATGGGAGCTCCAAGCAGGAGTATCACTTGAGGCTGGGAGTTGGAGACCAGCCTGGGCAACACAGCAAGACCCCCTTCTCTACAAAAAAGAATTTAAAAATTAGACAGGCACGGCTGGGCACAGTGGCTCACGCCTGTAATCTCAACACTTTGGGAGGCTGAGGCGGGTGGATCACGAGGTGAGGAGATCGAGACCATCCTGGCTAAGACGGTGAAACCCCGTCTCTACTAAAAATACAAAAAATTAGCTGGGTGTGGTGGTGGGCACCTGTAGTCCCAGCTACTCGGGAGGCAGAGGCAGGAGAATGGCGTGAACCCGGGAGGCAGAGCTTTCTGTGAGCTGAGATCTTGCCACTGCACTCCAGCCTGGGCGACAGGGCAAGATTCCATCTCAAAAAAAAGAAAAAAAATTAGCCAGGCACTGTGGCATGAGAGTAGTCCCAGATACTCGAGAGGCTGAGGTGGGAGGATCAATTGAGCCCAAGAATTCAAGGCAGCAGTGAGCTATGATCATGCAATGGCACTACAGCCTGGGCAACAAAGCAAGTCCGTCTCTTAAAAACAACAGCAAATGCATTCTTCAGTCACCTAATATTGATGACAAATCCCATCACAACAGAGTTTCTAGACTAACGCCTTATTTCAACATAACTCCACCTATAGATATATATTTGCATGCAGACACACACACACACACACACAATCTCTCTCTCTCTCTCTCTCTCTCTCTCATATTTATGTAATTTCCAAGTTCAAATTTCTATGGAACTGGGATGCCTTGAGGGGAGAAGCCAGAGTACTTTGGGCCTACTTGTAAGTTAATTGTGTTTGTTTCCATTAACACAATCCAAATGCAACCATGAAAGTTCAATTGATATTTATAGCAAGAACGTTTGAGCCCAATTCAACATGTTTTAAAATGAGAAAGACAAGGTTCAGAGAGTTTGACTAAATATAAACTTAATCATAAATAGTACCCCAACGTGATAATAGTCTTTAGACTATTTAAGGCTTTTAAGGCTTAAACCAGATAGTTACTATTGTTTTGAGGTTCACATTTTTGACTTGCACAAGTGAACTTCTCAGTTCGTTTTTCCACTGTAGTATCGGCTTTTCATGGTGACTCAGAACTGCCACTCCCATAGGTACCAGACCAGCACTACCAGTGAGAGGAGAAGCAAATGAGAGGAGAATCGCACCTTCCCCCCATTCACTGTGAGATGTTGGGATTGGGGAGGAGGTGGAGCACAAAGTCTACCCACGTGGTCTACCATAGGCCCCTCTTCCTTAGAGGTAGCTAACGAGAACAGGATTTGCAGGTGGGGATTACAGCCACTCCCAGAGGTGTTTTTATTTGGCAGGTATGTTACTTTTTAAAACATTCCGATTTTTTTACCAACACTTTAATAAATTGGGGAAGAATTTAAATTTCTCCTCTTTCGTAAAATAATAATTGAATAATGTGCTCTCCTGGGCCCACATTCCTCATGGCATCAGCTGACAGGACTGAGCTTCACTGCAGCCTTGCCACGTGACTTGCCCAACCAGAGAATGCTGGAGTTTGTGCTTCTAGCCTCTCCCTGAAACAATCACAGAATGTCGCCTAGCCCGACCTACTCAGTTGAGAGAAAACTGTGGCCCATATTTGTACAAGTGTAATAAGCTATCTCTAGTGGCAGCCCAGGTACACATAAAACGATGGCATCCCACAAGCAGAAAACTGACAGGAGTTCAACATACACTAGGAAACAGAAGAAGAGTGGAAGGGAAGTAATTCAAAGAGTGTGGCCAATTCTTTCTGCTAGGTAATGCACTCAGCAGGAGCTGCTCCCCCCAAAAGGTTTCAGTTCTCTTGTGTATCTCAGTGTCAAAGGTGAAGTCACATGTATCATATGTAAAGCAGGATTTTAAAGCATTTTCAGTAGTTATTTTTGCCTTATACAAAAGATCAAGTCCACTGCACCCTGATTTCTCAGGTCACTGATCCATACACTGAACCATAATTTCTTCAGCCAATGAAGGTCGTTAAGGCAGAGGGTGGCCACAGTTGCCACAAGGACTCCCTGCAGTAAGGAGGCAGCATACCACGCCTGGAACCTCTGGTTCTGTTAGCAGACAGAATTGGGTTCAAATGCTGACCCTGTCAGTACCTGCTGTGTGGAACCCTGAGCAAGTTACCAGGCTTCTCTTCTCTAAGACTCAGTGTCTAGTTCTAAGAAATGGGAGTAATAGTAACAATTACCCACACAAGAGTTGCAGTGAAGACTCAGTGAGATAATCCGTGCAAAGTGAATGCTCAGCATAGTGCTTAGCTCAGTAAACACTGGCTTAAAAGTCCCTGGTCTGATATTACAGTTCCCTAACCCTGCACACAACCTTCCAAAGCTCCTTTTTATATCCTACTATATTTAACATAAATCTATAATCCCCTCCAAATGCATGGTTAAGTGCGGTTAAAGTATGTTAAAAATATAAGAAAGGGGGCTTAACCTTGAGAAGCTCAGCCTGGGGAAATACTGCTTCTTTCATACACTGGCATCTGGCAGCAGTCGACTGGCTTAACCCACCCCCATTTTACAATTTTATGGCAATGATGGGATCACCATGAAGGTCCTGATGAGTCCCGTGCTACTACAGAATCTCCTCCTCCTAATCTCTAGTTGCAGCTTTTTTTCATGCACTGCTGCCCTAACAGTCAGCTCACCTCAACTCTTATCACACATCCACCCAATAATTACTACCTGCCGTG